CTATATCAGATAAAACAGATTCGAACTTTTAAGATTATATTTTCAAATTTATTTTAAATGTCTTTCTTGGAATGATATGATCAATTTTTGCATTACAAATTGTTAGTGCAATTAAATCTTTTCATATCTGATATTGAAAATATTATATCTTAATTACTATTTATCTTTTTCATTAAAAAAAAAAAAATAATAATTTATAAATTAAATTGGTTCATTTACCTTCATTTTTAGTAGCACCGTGTAGACGTATAATATTGGAATGCATATCTACTTTGCGATAATTTGAGCTATACAAATTATATTTCATAATAAATCGTTAATTCTGTATTATGATTATAAAAAATTAATAAGAGAATACCTCATTAACAACTTCTTTAATGGCCATATTATTACTTTTAAATGATTTTAGTGCGATAGTGATTTCTTTATTCTTTAAAGTGGCACAGTATACTTTTCCATATCCTCCTTCTCCAATCAATTTTACATGCTTGAAACGAGAATATTCGTAAAATTCAATGTGTCTTTCATTAAGACATTTTTGAATTATATCTTCAGATGTATTCATAACTAATTTCTCAGAATCTTATGAAGTACAGTACGCATTTTACGAGTAACTGTGTAATAACACCAGTTTTATGCGATGCCTTAAAATCAACGATCATTTATACCACTTTTTAGGAAGTTCACGTAAGTTATTTTTGCCGTGAAACGTAAAGATTTTGTATCGGTATAGTTTAGGCTTATCGTTATACGTAATTAGAAATCTTCTAAATAACAATTGCTAAATTTATTTTTTATTATAGATTTAATGAAATTACTGTAATAAAAACGGGTTTACCTGCTTACAACAAGTCTAAGGCATTTACTTTCAACTTAAAAACTACATGCATCAAAAAAGGTATTCATTAAGCAAACCTCTTTGGACTTCATAAGATTATTAAAAATCAAATTAGTAATTCTTGGGATATTTATATTAAACTATAACATGATCATGTAGGCGACTTCGCCGCCTTAAATTAATAGTATATAGTTATTATTAGTCAACTAACTTGTACTTACATTATAAATCTTCTTAATAACTAAAGATTGAACGCAAGTAGAAACGGAGTGCTGCAAAGCAAAAATCTGTAAATAATAATTATGGTTTTCATTTCAGCGAACTTAGCCCTTGTTAGAATTGTGATATTATTGTAGATAATTAATCACTATATAATCAGTGTTCTATTCTTTCGATAATACATATGACATTTGCATTGCTATTTTAGCAATTATTATATAGTGATTAATACATAATATCAAAATCTAGCAGATGTTAATTTCGGTAAAGTGAAACTATAATTATTATGGTTTTTTTGCTTTGCAGCATAGTGAACTTTTCTTGTGATTAGCTAATTTTTGCAAATTACAAATATATTATTAGATGTTTAAAACTAAATTAATGTTAATAACAAAATTGGTTATATAAAACTAAATAGAATTAAAAATATAAATCACAACTCAAAGCTTAGACTATTATTCCGATGCAAAGAGAATCCCTTAAATCAAGACTTTGCTTAAAAACATAATTGTAAATTTTTTAAAAAAATAAAAAAAAAAAACTACTAATAAAACATGTACAAATATATTTTTAACTATATAAACTAATTAATCTTAATTCTAAATTAATACAGTAATCATAAACACGATATTACGTATGCCTTAACCTTTCATAGAATTTATAAACTTTGTTACATTGCTTTGTTTCACCTGTAATACGTACATATCTGTCTCTAGGATTACAAATAAACTGTTAATGTAAACTCCTAAAGGCAAATAGCTGAACTTAAAAGGTTCATAAATCATATATTTTATGCTTATTGGCAAATTTAAACGTCTAAACATATCTCTCGTCTAACCAAATTACTTCAGTACATCCCTCTAAATATCTGATATTTATATTAATTACTTAATACTAGTGTTGTTAGCACAAGCAAAATTTTAGTAGTATGTTACCAAAATTTTGCTTGCACCAACAATCGCACTTAATACCCTTAAAATCATTTCATTTGCATTAATTTAGTTAGTAAATATTAGGGTAATTTAATAATATAATTTAAAATATGAACATAAATACTTCCCAAATACTTACTTAAGATTAAGATGATTACTAATATTAATCATTAGAATTAAAATCATAAATATAAATACTTGTTTGTAAATACTTATTTTATTGAAATAGTATGTATATATAGGTATAAAGATAATTTATTAACATTCACAAGTCAAATAAATATATTAATTATACAAATTAGAATTCTTATATTATTCTAATATTTATCTTTTATATATATTTTTATAAACTATTATTCAACTATATAAAAGTGAAATAAAAGATGCATATTAGTATAATATTAAAGATATATATCAGGAGTATAAAGGAAGAAAAATATTTATTTTTTATATTTCTAATATATATCTTTAATATTATACTGATATATATCTTTTATTTTACTTTTATATAGCTATAGATTTACTAAATATCTGTTAAATAATAAGTATATAAAAGATAAATATTAGAATAATATAAAAATCTAGTAATAACCTAATGTTTATTTTTTTATATATATTTTTATAATCTGTTATTCAACAGATATTTAGCAGATCTATAGCTAAATAAAAGTAAAATAAAATATATATATTAGCATAATATTAAAAAATATATATTAAAAGTAT